AGCAGCTACCATGCCATTGGCTTTATGCTCCGCATGCATCACGCGGACGCACCNGGTGAAAACGCGACGTCCGGGCGATTGCGAGGCGACTCAAACGGGGGGGATCAATGGCTCGGAAGCGACGCGCAGCCCCCTCGCGACCCCATAAAGCTAGTTTCAGAGCCCTCGCAGCGTCGGGAATCGTTCATCAACAGCCCCGTTGCGTCCGGTCGCAAGGGCTTGTTGCAGAGCTTCGACATCGTCGAACTCTCCTGGTCGGGCTCGGACGCCGCGGCGCATCCCGTCGACTGGCGTCACCCATGCGCAGCGACAACACCCCGTGGGGAAGAACGCCGCCGCGGACTCATCCCTCGCCCGATGGAGGACGGTTCCGTGACAGTCCCACGAGGTGGGACCGACCTCGCGACCCACCGGCGCCGGATCAGGTGGCCCGAGGGGCGAGGCTGCCCCCGCGCGACGTGACGATGTTGGTCCCACCTCGTGAGAGCGCAACACTCACACATTCGACATGTGTGCGCAGGCGACGGTCGTGGTCTCACGAGGTGGGACCGACCTCCAAACCCCGAACAGGGCTGCTTTAGACGCGCCCATCCCGCAAGACCTAATCGCGCTGCGACGGCAATAACGAAGGAAGCAAGATGTTGGACATTCAATATCTCTTCAGCGTTCATCATCGATTTTTTCGGACAAAGGGTTACGCGACCCACAGCTGCCCCGTCACCGACAATTTTTGCGGAGATTTGCCCAAGCACGGAGCGCACGACGCGCCGCGCCGCCGCTAGCTTTTGCCCAAGCACGGAGCGCACGCCGCGCCGCGCGCCGCCGCCGACGATGCGCGTCGCCGCGTCGCCGCGGTCGAGCCCCATCAGCTCGCAGGACAGCAAGTCCGTGGCGTCGCAGGACGCGTCGCCGGCCGGGTCGCGCCAGGCCCTCTTCTACGAGAGCGACGACGACGACGACGCGGGCGAGCCCGTCACGTTCCTCGTCAAGGTGCTCCGGTGCCGCGTCAAGGCCGGCTGCGGGGGCGACTTCGCCTTCGACGACGACCACCGCTACGCCGTCGCGCTCGGCGGCGACGGGGACCCGCGGCGGACCGAGTGGGTCGGCGGCCGCGGGAGCGAGGCGCGCTTCGTCGAGGAGTTCGTGTTCCAGCACGACCCCGACGACGCCGCGCCGGTGCTGACGGCGACGCTGCTCCGCAAACGGGCCGCGGGGACGCTCGCGGCCTACTACGACGGCGGCGAGGACCGCGTCGGCGACGCGGACGTCGCGCTCGACGAGCGGTCCGTGCTGCCGCGGACCGCGCCGCGGTTCTGGGTGCCCCTCCGGAGCCCCGCGTCGGCGGCCGGCGCGGCGTTCCTCGGCTGCGGCGGGCCCGGGGCCGCGGACGAGGAGGGGGAGGAGCTGCCGCTCGAGCTCCAGGTCGCCGTCTTCGGCTTCCGGCCGCTCGCGATGGCGCGCGCGTGCCACGCGTACAAGCGCATGCGGCGCCTCGAGGCCGAGCTCCTCGAGGTCAAGGCGGACCGCGACGACCTGCTCCGGCGCCTCCTGCCGCCGCCGCCGCCGGAGGGCGCGGAGTCCGCGGCGCCCGAGGCCGCGGCGCCGCGAGGCCGCGACGGCGAGCCCGAGGAGGAGCGGCCCGCGACCGCGGCGCGGCG